GAAATCCACCAATCCTTACGTATAGGGCCTAAGGCATTACACCGCTTTGTACAGCCCCTCTTTTTCTCACCAGGTCTGCAAAAAACAATTGAGCAGGTACACAAGGCATGCGTTATTTGCTCTAAAGTCTCACCTCACGGAGGCTTAAGGCCACGGTTTCCTACTCACCAAATGTGTGGCAACCTACCTGCCCAAGACTGGCAAATTGACTTCACTTATATGCCCACTCACAAAAAGCTCTGCTACCTCCTAACTTTTGTAGATACCTTTTCAGGTTGGATTGAAGCCTTCCCCACCTCCCGGGAGACGGCAGACACGGTGGCCTCCCTCCTTACTGAAGAAATCATTCCTCGCTTCGGCCTACCTGTCACCATCCAGTCAGACAATGGTCCAACATTTACGGCCCAAGTAGTCCAGCTAGTCGCCAAGTCCCTCAACATCTCCTGGAAACTACACATCCCTTACCATCCTCAGTGGTTGGGTAAAGTTGAATGAGCCCACGGCATCCTCAAAGACCATTTGGCCAAACTTGCTATTGAGGTAAAACTCTCCTGGCCCACACTCCTATCTCTTGCCCTGGTCCAGGTCCAGGCCACCCCATGGGGGCCAACGGGCCTTAGCCCCTTCGAATTGCTGTATGGCTGGCCTTTCCTGGTTTCCCATAATCTCCCTGTAAAACCGCCCCCACTGGCTTCCTACCTTCCCTTCCTCTCTCTTCTCCGCCACCTGCTTAGGGAGCACGCGGACCGCACCCTCCCTGTTGTTCCAGGACTGGAAGACCCCCACTCAGTGACGCCTCTCCAACCAGGAGACAGCGTTCTCTGAGAACTCGAACCAGGATCTTTGCAGCCCAGGTGGTCGAGACCCCACGTTGTTATCCTAACCACCCCCACAGCAGCCAAACTCCTGGGTCACACTCCATGTGTCCCACCTCAAGCTGGCACCCCAAAATAATTAGTTGGAATCAGAACCCCTGGGCGCCACTCGCCTCAGCCTCACACATGGCCACGACCCGTCGCCCCCTAACCCTTCAGAGCCTCCTCCTGACAGTCCTTCTAATATCTCCTCGAGGCCAACTCATATGTTTGGCGCTTCTAAATCCATGAATCCTGGACTGAGGGCCCCACCACCAGGACCCATTAATCTTGCCCAGGCAAACTGCCAAACAGGCAGCTGTCAGTCTACTGTCTCTATCCTCATCCCACACGGTAAAATTGCCATACTCGGTAGCAATCATGGGTTTCACTTTTGGCACGGGCTGTGTTTTCTATATGACCAAACTAAGGACTACTGTCATTGGTGGAACACCACCTATGGGGGTACCCATACAGCTCTTGTGTTATTCACAAGCCACAGCCTCCAGGCCGTCCCAACTGCATGCTCACTTACTTGCTTCAGCAATGGTTCCTTAGCCCTCAACATCTGGAACCCCTGGCACAGCTGTTGGGATGCAGGAGTGTCCGGTAAAGTCTATGAAGATTATACCTGGAGCCACCCTCAGGGAACATGGCTATTCCGGTCTTATACCTGCATCGTCTCTGAAGCAATAGAACAGCTCAGTTCTGTAAGCCATATAATCCTGCAAAATGAAGCCACCCTAATTAACCAATTCAAACCTTCAGATAGCACCTCTCAACCCTTCTCTTGGTTGACTCTAGTACAGCAGGGAGCCAACATATTAAATTTAACTAAAGCCAGGAATATAACCAACTGCTTTTTATGTGCCTCTCTCAGCAACGCCCCCTTAGCTGCAGTACCCCTCAGGTCCGGGTTCAATCTGTCACAATCACGTATGGGACCTGGCACCATCTTAACGGATATCCACTTGTTCCAAGTACACCCTCAAAATTTCTCTCTGTGCTATGAGACAGCCAGCAGCTCCAGTCCCAGCTGTTATACCACAGTAAAGGTAAAATCCTTCCTCTACGCGCCACCAGGAAGATATTTCTGGTGTAATGGAACCTTAACTAAAGTTATTAATGCCTCCTGCCCTTTCCCTTGTGTGCCTGTCACCTTGGTCCCGGACAGGCCGAACTTCTATCCCTCCTTCCACCCTCCCCTAATTACCAAGACAGACGAGCAATCTTCCTCCCAATGGTCGTCGGTCTCTCTCCAGCATCCTCTCTGGCGGCGGCCGGGCTGGATAGCGGCGCCCTAGGTTACAGTGACACCTCAGCCACTCAACTAGAGGACAAGCTTCGCGTGGCTATTGAAGCGTCGGCCGCCCCCCCCCCTCCAGGAACAAATCACATCACTGGCCCAGGTAACTCTCCAGAACCAAAGGGTCCTTGACCTGCTGACAGCAGAAAAGGGAGGTACCTGTCTGTTTCTTCAGGAGCAATGCTGCTATTACATTAATGAAACAAGCCTCGTGGAAGAAAATGTCAACACTAACACCTCCAAGAGAGGTGGCTCTGGCTTTGCTCCGCAAGACGCAAAATGCATCACTCTCGCCCCTCAACTGGTAGCAATCCCCCATGCTTACCTGGCTAACCCCTGTTACCACTCCCATTATCGTAGTTTGTCTTCTGTTAACGCTAGTCCCTTTTTTCCTCAGGTTTTTACAGGCCCGCAGGAGGGAAAGTTCCAGAGTGGCCGTAAACAGATGCTACTTCAGCCCTATGTCTGACTCCCAACAGAGGCACCAGCCAACTGACCCTTCTCCCTCAGTCCACCCCTATTCAGCAGGAAGTAGCCAGAACATAAGGCTGGCTGCCTGGCCAGGAGGCCGGACACGCCCACTTCTGCACTCGGCACCAGGCTCTGCACCCGGACCAGGCTCTGCACCCGGACCAGGCTCTGCACCCAGCACCAGGCTCTGCACACGGCACCAGGCTCTGCACACGGCACCTAGCTCTGCCTCATGGCTCCCTTGGAAGGCTCTGGCTAATGCAACCCTGGCCAGCTCTCACACTGGAAAACCCGCCCAACAACCCGCCAACCAATAGCGGCTCACCGCGTCCCAATCCCGCTCCCCTGGACCCAATCAGAGCACCCAGCTGTTGCTCATTCCTCCTAACCATAAACGCTCCCCCGTCCCCCACCTCAGGAAGTCAGTTCGAGGTCTCTGGGCCCTCTCTCTGGACCAGACCTAGAACCTTGCCCGGGAGCTGAATAAATTGGCATTTAATTTTCTTATACGGGCCTCAGTTTCGTCCTTTTAAACTCGGCAGCAACCCTTACAATCATCCTCACACCACCCGCAGCAGCCCTTCTTCCAGTACTCAGGACGTACTCAGCCGGTGGCATTCATGTGAATTAGCTACACGGTTCCGTAGCCACATGAACATATCAAGAGGGCCCGTGTGCGGTGGCTCACGACCGAATCCCAGCACTAAGGGAGGTGAAGCAGTAGGATGGCTTGAGCCCAGGTGCTCAAGACCCCCTCTCTACAAAAAACAACAAAACAAAAACCTGTCGTGGTGGTGCGCACCTGTGGTCCCAGCTACCCAGGAGACTGAGGAACGCGGCTCGCTTGAGCCCCGAGGCTGCGGGGGCCGAGGTCGCCATACTGCACTCCTCCAGAGCGAGACCCTGTCTCAAAAGAATAATAGAAATAAAGACATTAGGGGCGTTCTGGGGCCCAACAACTCGCCCCCACTACCGCCGGTTGCTTTTCTTTTCATTCATGCGCCTCTTTTTAAATTACAGGACCTTCTCTGCAGCCTGCTGTCCAGCCAGTGTCCAGTTTAAATCTAGGTTCTGGGGAAGCTGAGGCCGGGTGGGTTGTGGGACGTGGTGCTGCGCAGCGCGTGGGCCGCGTGGACCGCGTCCTGGGAGCAGGCACGGGCGGCTCAGGGGCGGGTCACCCTGACCTCCAAGCCCCCGGACTCTTGTCTCACGCTTTCCGCTGGCTCTGCTGGGGCACCGCGAAGGGCCCGCGGGTCAGCGTAGGCCGCCGCCTCCCGCTGCCTGCCCGGCGGCCACACGGGCCACAGCAGGGGCGACTGGGCAGCGCCCCCCGGCACTCCAGCCCTTCCCCCCACCGACCCACCCCCGCCAAAGACTGGGGCGGGGCAGCTTAGTCACCTTAGTCCGGTGACTCGGGTGGGTGGCCTGAAGCCTGCACAGTTCCGCTAACTCGGACCGCGCGCAGATAAGTCGTGGGGGGTGGGGCTGGACCCCTGACCTGCCCTCCAGGAGCCCCCGGTCCATAGGCAGGTAGTGAGCGCCAAGCGTTTCCAACAGACCTGCCAGTGAGGAGCCTGCTGCCAGGGCCCCGCTCTGGCTCTGGACGCCCGGCAAGGCCGCGAGCAACTGAATTCCGCCCTCCAGGAAGGCCCGTGGTGCATCTGTGCACCCGGAAGCAAGGCCCACGCAGGGAGCGGGACGGCGCAGGCCCAGGGGAGGTCCCCGGAAGAAGCTCGAAGGACTAGGGTAGGCCTAAGAGAAGGTTTGATGGGAAACAAGGCTAGCCAAGAGCATAACACCACTAACCCACGTGGGCCGCCAAGAACTCAGCTTAGAGGGACAGGGGAAGGGTTCGAGATGTTGGTCAAAGGATACAAAATTTCGGGCGGGCGCGGTGGCTCACGCCTGTAATCCCAGCACTTTAGGAGACCAAAGCAGGCAGATCACCTGAGGTAGGAAGTTCGAGACCAGCCTCACCAACATAGACAAACCCTGTCTCTACTGAAAATACAAAATTAGCCTGGCGTGGTGGCTCATGCCTGTAATCCCAACACTTTAGGAGACCGAAGCAGGCAGATCGCCTGAGGTAGGAAGTTCGAGACCAGCCTCACCAACATAGAGAAACCCGTCTCTACTGAAAATACAAAATTAGCCGGGCGTGGTGGCTCATGCCTGTAATCCCAGCTACTGGGGAGGTTGAGGCAGGAGAATCACTTGAACCCAGGAGGTGGAGACTTAGGTGAGCCAATGTTGTGTCATTTCACTCAGCCTGTGTAACTAGAGAGAGATTCTGTCTCAAAAAAATAAATAAATAGGTGAGGTAACGGATATGTTAATTAGCTTGATTTAGACACCCAGTGTATACATACTGTATATATCATGTTGTACACCATACATGTATACAGTTTTGTCAATTTAATTTTTTTAAAAAAAGATATTAGCTCATATTAGTATTTCAATCAGCCAGCCCAGGAATATTTGATAGAGAAGGGGCAGGGCGCAGATCCCGAGACTAGAGAAGGAGCAGATCAGCTATCATGGGGCCGGTGGAGCCTCAGCTTGCCCAGGGACTGCTGAGGTGTCAGGAGAGGCCAGCATGTGCTGCAGCAGCAGACAGCACCAAACCTCAAGGCTGAGCACAGCGAAGGTGCGTCTCCCATCACACAAGGTGCACTTCAGATCTGGGCAACTCTTGGAGGAGCAGTCACCCTGGTGGCAGGCAGTGGCTCAGTCTCCACCCAAGACATCCTAGGTGGTCACTGTGGGAGGGAAGAATGAGAGGACCTGGAGAGTCAGACTGGCAGGTATATGCCTCCCCCTGGAGGTGACAAAGCCTTCACCCATCACATGCCCCTACTTACTGTGAGGGATCCAGGAGTGTCATCTGCCAGGGACCTGGAAGGAGAGGAGAGCCAGATGGGGTTGGTGCTGAAAGTCTCCATCAGCCAAGGGTGGGAGCCTGCAGACTGGCTCTACCTATGCCCTGCTTTGGCAGGAGGCTGGCTTGCTGCCTGGGGCTATGCTCTGTCACCTGTCCGCTGCATACAGGTGCTCCTGGACTTACTATGGGGTCACATCCCAACAAACCCATTGTAGGTTGAAGATATGATAAGGTGAAAATGCATGTAATACACCTAACCTACTGAGCACCATAGCCCAGCCCACCCTACATGAGCTCAGAACACTCATTTCGCCTACAGCTGGGCAAATTGTCTGGCCGCACAGTCCCTGCGGGGCTGTTTACCATCTTGATCGCGTGGCTGCTGTCCAGCATCAAGAGAGAGTATCTTACTGCTTCTTACTGAATACATACTGCTTTTTCACCATTATAAAGTCAGAAAAATTATAAGTGGACCATTGTAAGTGGTTGTGTATCTGTAATTACATGACCTTCTGATTGGCTTGTTGGAAGTCACAGAGTGCTATGGAGAAGTCTCGTGTGGCTGAAGCTGCACTCAAACAAACCACCCCTTCCCCCAGTGAGGCCCCACTTAGGAACACACACACTCAAGAGGCAGGCAGAGAGCGCAGCATGGGAGTGGCCTGCCGAGGTCACACCCAATCTCTATTTGTACGTGGACCTCCTGCATGTATGAGAGTGAAGACATGACCCAGGACTAGCCCCAGCTCTGCCTCTCCAGCCGAAGGGCTGGGTTCATGACCTAAGGGGGATGAGTGAGAAGACCACCCAGACTGTCTTGAGCACTCTGCTCTGGAAGCTCCAGCTTCTCTGACCTTGGAGCTGTTGATGATCAGGTTGCTGCTGGGAGAGCTGGTCTGAGGAAGAAACCTAAAAAGCGGGGAACAGAAGAGAATTGTGGAGACACAGAGTGTGTAAGAGAGACAGAATATGGATTCAACTTGATCTCCTAAAACCAACAGTGCCTGAAGCTATGTCCCATTCCACAGCCAATAAATTTCCTCTTTCTGTTTAAGCTAGCTTGAGCCATATCCTCAAACACTTACAAATGAAAAATTCTAATAACTAATTGGTCTTTGGCTGCAAAGCCCAACACAGAATTCTCCTAAGCTAGGCTGATCCACTAGGAGCCCTCCTTTGGTGAGGCCCCCTTTTCCCCTAAGGCGAACCTGTTAATGAAAAAAAAGCAAGTTACCCAGCCCCTGTGTGGGGGCAGGAAGACACAGCCCCTTCCTTCTACTGAAGATGCATCTATCCTGGCCCTTCCCTCTCATGCCCAGTCTTTTCAGTTCCCTTCAAGCTCACGTCCTGTAGGCCCAGGGGTGGGGATGTGACAGAAATGAGGTACTCCTAGGACCACTAGAGAGCCCCATCCCTGTGATGTGGGGTGGCCCAGGGGTCACTGAGTGAGCATCCTCTGCACCTCATGGGAGAGTTCCTCGTGACTACTGCAGGGCAGGTGCTACAGGGGACAGGGTTTGGAAAACAGAGACCTTCTTAAGTGAGCTCAGGTGGAGGGGGATTTCCTAGCAGGCCCCGGGAGACCACAGCCCACCCACGTGAGGGCTCACGGGGCCTTGGGAGTGTATGCAGCTTCTCTCTTCTGCACCTGCAGAGGCTGGTTCTTCCGGCCCCTTCTAACCCCACATCCATTCTCTGCATGCGGGCTCTGAAGCCTGGTGGCCAGCCCTGGCTCACCCCAGCCGGCAGCCTCAGCTCCCTGCCCATGCAGGTGTCATTTCCAAAGACCTAACTACACAGCCCAAAGTCTAGCAGGTACAGCTGCTAGATAAATGCAGAACACCCATGCAACATTTGGCATGTGCTTATACTAAACTCTTGTTCAAATCTTTATTTGAAATACAAATATAACTAGGTATCCTGTATTTCTACTTGCTAAGAACTGACAATACTCATGGGAGGAAGGCCCCCCAGCAGGAAGAAAGGCTAAAGTGGAAAGGTAGATCCCAGGACTGCTTTCTGGGGTGCACCCCTCCCTGTGCCCACCCCACAGATATTTAGGCTTTGAAGCAGGCCTTGGGCCGGCAATACCCAATCCTCGCCAGGCGAGCTGTTAAGTGGCTGCAGGGGCACCAGAGCAAATCCCAACACAGAGCATGGCAGAGAAGAGGTATCCTGCTGCTCCACCACGTTCCCGGTCACCTGTGAGGGCCTCCGATGACCGGCACTCCAGGATCCTCTCCCCAGCCAGCAGCCACTCCTGGCAGTGACTATGTGAAAGCTCCCAGTGGCCTTGGTGGGTATGAGACTGCTGGGGTTCATCTCTAACCTGGCCCAGGCCTTGCAGGAAAGGATGATGAATGGCCACTCCTCACACCATGCCCACACTACCTCCAAGTGCCCAGGGGATGGTCAGTCCACCTCAGATGGCCCTGGCAGTCAGGGCTGGTGTTCCACATGCCTGGGGGGCAGCCTGCACTTGGAGCAGCCCACCTCCCAGGGTTTCTTAACTGAGCCTGCAGCAGGGAGCTAAGCCGGTGAGGATGGCAGCGGATCCTGAAGCCTGTGGCCTGAGCTCTGGTGGGAGGCTGGCTGGATGTTCAGTTCTCTCTCCTGCCTGTAATAAGTAGTAAAAAGGGGTTGGTCAGGTTCTTTCCAGGAAGGTAACACTGTCACACAGTGTGGAGTAAGGGACCCCATATCCTGCTGGGCAATGCAGTAGCCCCAGGCCACACCCCTGTGAATGGAGCTTCCTGGTCTGGGAGCCCAACCAGGGTGAGTGAGGGGTGAAGTGAGCAGTGCCCACCTCCTGCGCCCCTCCCACCCACTCATGCTGGGCCCTGGGGGTGGGAAGAGCTGAGGGTCAAAAGTCCCACATAAATGCAAAGCACTTCCATCCTGCGTACCTCCTGCTGCACCGAGTGCTGTAGGAAACACACTCTTCCGGAGACCGGCCAAGCCGTGGACTAGGCATGGATTCTCATCATCATCTGCATTTAGAGGAGACCAGAACACAGAGGGGCTCCGAGGGGCCCAGCTGCCACATGGACTCACATCCTTGGATGTGTGACCCTGAATTCCTCTTACCTGGACCGCAGAAACACGTCATCCCCTAAGAAACCCCAGAGTCCCAGAGTGGTACCTAGCTGCCTGGCCCTGTTCAGCTCTCACAGATCCTGCCTACAATGGTGGAGGTGCTTGCTTCCTCCCTCCCTCCCTTCTTTCCTCCCTTCCTTCTTTCTCTCCCTCCTTCCCTCCCTTCCTTCCCTCCCTCTCTCCCTCTCTCCCTTCCTTCCTTCCCTCCCTCTCTCCCTCTCTCCCTTCCTTTCTTCCCTCCCTCCCTTCCTTCCTTCCCTCCCTCCCTACCTTCCTTCCTTCCCTTTTTCCTTATGGGCTGAGTGCATTTGCCTGCTCGACTGGGTGGAGCAGAGTGATCAGGACCCAAATTCAGGGACCCTTGGGGCCCTGCAGGCATGACTCCTCCCTGCTCAGTGTTTGCCAAACTTAGATTATAATCCACTGAGGTTTGGATAGAAGCTCAGTGGGCAGCGATTCCTAGAAAATAGGAGTATATCACACGCAGGGTGAGTGTTTCATGAAAATGGTATCAGCTATACACATACATGAATACATGTGCACACATTTGTACAGGCACGCATATATCAACTATGAACGTATACTTGAATTTTCTGTCGAGATGGAGGATGAGTGTAGAGTGAATGTGTGTTGCATAAGGGCAAGTGTTTTGTGAAGCTGGTGCCAGTTTTAGATATCTGTCCACGCCTGTGCACACACATGCATGGGGGGGCTGTGCAGATTGCATCATCTCCTGTGGGTCACAGCCAAAGATGTCTGAGCAACTCTCTTTTTTTCTGTTTACTTCAAGAGAAAGAAAAAGTAACAAGCCAGAAGCCCCAGGGCTTCTCAGGAAACAGGCTGAGGGACACTTGCAGCGGGATCGGAAGGTCCGGAGGTGGAGGCACATCCTTTGCCCACCACAGACGCCGGAGGGCATGTCGACATTGCCTGCAGATGTCCAGGAAAGAGCTTGGACCTGGGAGGCAGAAAGCCAGCGGTCCGTGACCTTGGCAAGCTCTCCAGCCTCCCAGATCACCTTCCTTGTCTGTCTTACCTGTAAAAGATCGAGAGCCTCTTTCGGTTGTTTTCAGATTAAACACAGCACCTGCAAGGGTCCTAAGCATGGCCCTGGAGAGACCCTTCTGTGAGTCACTCTCACAACCAAATGTTTTCTGCTTGCAGAGAAAACCCAAGCTGTCCCCAGTGTCCCTTACAGTGACAAAGGCCCCTCGGAAGCAGCCCCACCCCCACAGCCTACAACCCGCTGAAGGGACAAAACACAGACAAAACTTAAAAGAAGTAAAAACACACATGTTGATCCCACCCCATCCCTTAGCGTGCGTAAGATATACACAGGAAGGAAGTGGCCGGGTGATTCAAGGAGGCTGAGCTGCAACGGCTCAGGGAAAGGAATATTTTCTGACAAGTCCGCCCTGACTGTGGTTTTGAACATGATTTCAGCCCAGTTTTGGCCCGGCCCCCGGCCCCCGCCGGCACTTGTGTCTGCAGTCTAGACACAGCAGCCAGGGTGGACGCCCGTGCAGGAAGGCGCCCAGCGGGCTGCTGCCCAGCCTTGAGGTTGGAAAGAGGCCGTTGGAGCAAAAGCTGCTGCTGGCCAGAGTTGGCGGGGGGCTGTGGCTGGGATGGGGATGCGTGGGCCGCTGCCCAGTCCACAGGGCTGAGGAAGGAGTCAAGCTCCAAGAAGCCTGCTTCCCCACGTGTTCCCAGCTACTGACTCACAAACAAACCTGTTTTTGATTTCTGCTCTTAGCCCACTTCAGGCCCCAGCACATCCACCCTGTGGAACCAGGGAGCTCCAGACACGTCACTCTCAAACCCAAAAGTCCCTTTCACGCCCCTGAGATAGCAAAGACCAGTTTCAAGCCTCTCCCACCTCCATCCATAGCGCCTCCTGCTTTCCAAGCCTTTCCACACCCCAAGTCTGGCTCAGCTGTAGGCAAGCACCTGATTCGAACCTCCCTTGCTGTTGGTTCCTAGCTCTCCTTCCCAGTCCTCTGTCCAAGGCCTGCCCATCTCCAGGGCTGGCTTCCTGGCTCTCCAGCTGGAAAGGCTCTCTCCCCTGCTGTCACTGATCCTGCATTTTTCCACGTGGGCAGCTGTATGTCCAGCTGTGTGCAGCTGTATGAGCCTTACCTCTCTGAGCCTCATTTCCCCATCTGTAGAATGGGGATTTTGAGAGCTGTCTACTGAGATGAAGTAACAGACGCAAAGCAACGAGCCTGACACACAGTCCTGGCACCAGCGCTGGGCCGCGTGAATGATTACACCCCGATTACACCACCAGTGACAATGATGGCAGGCTTCTCCCCGTCACTAGGTGGGAATTTCTCTGGGGTAGGACTTGGCTGTTCTCTCTCCATCTTCCCCCAATTCCACAAAAGATTTCCTATATCTGGCAGGTACTCAAAAAAGAAATGTGAGAGTTGGTATGTCCTGGTGGTCTGGGATCAGAAGATTATTCGCATGGTGAGGGCAGCTAAGAGCCCGAGCTAGGCAAACTGCACCTTTTGCAGGAGGGGCAAGAACAGCTGTAGGGGCAGCTGTGGCCTGGCTACCAGGGACTGGCGTGGAACTCATGTCCCTTGCATGGAGCCTGAGTGGCCAGTCAGCCTCAGCCCACACAGGGGCAGCACTGCTTCCAGACCAAGGGCTCAGGGAGATCTCACAGGGCTGGACTCTCAGGGTGGGGGTATTTTTGAGATGAGATTCCCTGGGGCCCACAAAGGTGCTATCGTCTGAGCCCACAGGCTGCACGGGCATCCTAGCCCATGGCCTTCAGTAGAACGGGGGGCGGAAAACAGGTGAGTCCTTCAACGGCCCTGGCATGGGGCCAGGGAAGGATTCACCCTTCCCTAGCAGACAGGGACTAGGAAAGGGGGGGACACTGGTGGAAGAGAGGGGTCACCCTGGGTGGAGGAAACAGAGCCTACAGTCCTGGGAGACCAAGGTGGCTAGAGTTTTCAGGACAGAGGATGGAAAAGGAGAGAGCTGGCAAAACAGAGCCCTGGACATCTGCAAAGCGTCTCCTCGATTATTTGCTTCGTGCGTGTGAAGAAAATGCCTGGGCCAGGGAAAGCCACCGGGTGGAAGTAAAGAACAGCACCTGGGGCCGGGCGCGGTAGATCAAGCCTGTAATCCCAGCACTTTGGGAGGCCGAGGCGGGTGGATCACGAGGTCAAGAGACCGAGACAATCCTGGTCAACATGGTGAAACCCCGTCTCTACTAAAACTACAAAAAATTAGCTGGGCATGGTGGCGCGTGCCTGTAGTCCCAGCTACTCAGGAGGCTGAGGCAGGAGAACTGCCTGAACCCAGGAGGCGGAGGTTGCGGTGAGCCGAAATCGCGCCATTGCACTCCAGCCTGGGTAACAAGAACGAAACTCCGACTCAAAAAAAAAAAAAAAAAAAAAGAACAGCAGCTGGGGCTCTCGGGGGGCTCCCACCAGCCAAAATGCACAACTCCTGATTCACTGGGCATTGGCACAGTACTCAGCGGGTAGCCTGGACAGCCCTGGCCTAAGCACTGCTCCACACCCACCTAACAAATCATCAAAGCAAGACCCAACAGACCAAGCCATTCTCAGTAGCTTCACTGCATCTCAGAAAAAAAGCTCAAGATTATTTATGTGTTTCTTTTTCTGTTTGGTTTTGAGAGAGTCTCACTCTGTTGCCTGGAGTGCAGTGGGCGCTGGAATCACAGGCATGCACCACCATGCCCAGCTAATTTTTGTGTTTTTAGTAGAGACAGGCTTTCACCATGTTGGCCAGGCTGGTCTCAAACTCTTGGCCTCAAGTGATCCGCCCAACTCAGCTCCCAAAATGTTGGGATTACAGGCATGAGCCACTGCACCCAGCCTAACATGATTTATAAGAATACAAAGATAGCCAGCATCCAACACGGTAAAATTTACAACATCCAGCTTGCAATGGAAATGACCAGGCCAGGCGCAGTGGTTCACACCTGTAATGCCAGCACTTCCAGTGGCCGAGGCAAGAGGATGACATGAGCCCAGGAGTTTGAGACCAGCCTGAGTAACAAAGCAAGATCTCATGTCTACAAAAAAATATTAAAAGTTAGCGGGGTGTGGTGACACATGCCTATAGTCCCAGCTATTCAGGAAGCTGAGGCAGGAGGATATCTTGAGCCCAGGAGGTTGAGGCTGCAGTGAGCCGGGATCACACCACTGCACTCCAGCCTGGGCAACACAGCAAGACCTTATTTCAAAAAATAAAAAAGGAAAGAAAGAGAGAACAAGAAAGAAAACAAGAAAATGATGGAGGCAAGGCGTTGAGTTTGATTTGAGATTTAATGTTGGAATGGTTATTCTCATTATATAAAATTCTAGTGTTACCTTGTGTTTAGAATGGAGGCTATTTTGCTAGAACTTTAACTCCCCTTTCTCATAAGGATAACACTGTTGCTCTCCTCCATCCCCACATTTTAAGTTTTTTCCTATGGTGGTGAGGGACAAGGGAGCATTAGGGGAGAAGTGCCCTGTACCACCACCAGGAAGGAAGCTTCTCAAGAGTCTCCTTGGTCTTCCCTGTGAGTACCTGGTGAGAAATAATTCATTTTTTAACTTCATATGTGCAATTTATATATTATATGAAATCTATTAATTGCTCTATTAATTTTACAACCTGCTATCTTGCAGAATTCTTTTATTTTTTGAGGTAGTTTTACCAACTATTTTACAATCTTTTTCTCTAGGATTTTCCAGAGACACCATTTTGTCATCTGTAAACAGAGATGGTTCTTCTTTTTCAAGTTTTATGCCTCCAGTTCTTTTCTCTTACCTGATTGCATTGGTTAATGTATTAAATAGTAATAAAACTAAGAAAATGTTTGCCTTGTTCCTAACCTTAGTAGGAATGGTTCTAGTTTTTCCTTATTAAATACCAGTGATTTTAGTATGAGGTATATACATAGTTTATAATTATAAGGATATATCAATTCGTTTTCTTCAAGACTGTAAGTACAAATGGGTCTTAAATGTTTTCAAAGGCTTTATTGGCCTCTGTAGAAACAATTATATAATTTTTCTCCTTCAACTTATTGATGTGATCCATTTTATAGAATATTTCTTATTATTGAATCATCTTTGAGTTCCTGTTATGGAATTGCTTTTCATTGCAACATTTAGTTCTGTAGTTTGAGGAAGTCTTTTTCTTTTTCTTGATTTCCACTCTCTTGTAGCCAGAGTATTTCTCAAATGTATATATTTCCCAAGAATGAGTTCATGGGTGGTTAGCTTTCAAAATCTTTTCATATACATAAAGCATTATTTCTGCTTTCATAATTAACAGTTCAGCATTTTTGAGTCAAGATAGTCTTCCCTCCCACCTTGAAGGAAGCCTTCTATGTCTCCTTAGTACATGCTGTTGAGCTCAAAACCCTGCCAGTGACCTGTGCCACCCCGTCCCCTTATCTTTCTCGTAGTTCATGGCAAAGTGCCCAGGTATTGATCCTTTCTCTTCCTTTCCCTTCTTTTTTTATTTAGAAGTGTCCCTACATTGCCCAGGCTGGTCTTGAACTCCTGGGTTCAAGTGATCCTCCTGCCTCAGCCTCTCAAAAGAATGACATTACAGGTGTGAGCTACCACACCCAGCCATCTTTACTCAATCATCCTGTTAAATAACTTGAGAGGGCCGGGCGCGGTGGCTCAAGCCTGTAATCCCAGCACTTTGGGAGGCCGAGGTGGGTGGATCACGAGGTCAAGAGATCGAGACAATCCTGGTCAACATGGTGAAACCCCGTCTCTACTAAAACTACAAAAAATTAGCTGGGCATGGTGGCGCGTGCCTGTAGTCCCAGCTACTCAGGAGGCTGAGGCACGAGGGTTGCCTGAACCCAGGAGGCGGAGGTTACGGTGAGCCGAGATTGTGCCATTGCACTCCAGCCTGGGTAACAAGAGCGAAACTCTGTCTCAAAAAAAAAAAAAAAAAAAAAAAAAAAACAACTTGAGAAAGTTTTCATTTAAAAATGGTTTCTCCTTTTTTGGCTCTGGGAAATTATTCCCCCAACATTTCTTT